CATCTACCATATTCAACTCCACCTAACTCGCGCACAGCAGTCGATACTGCCTTGTTGCCGACGACCAACCGAACATGAATCGGCTGGGAGGAGTCGCTGTGGAAGTGGATCCTCACAGTGATGGGAGCACCTTCCTCTCCTTCATTGGGGTAAAACTCCAGAACCTGGATCAGGTGCGAGCCAGGGACTGCGAGCTGCGCAAGTGTGTCTTCAACAAACATGGGAGGATTCGAAGTTTGGAGAGAGGCGAAATGGTCTGTATCCAAGTGGCTGGCCATGGGCAGGATATGACTCGATGAAGCCCTATAAGACACTTTGGGCGGCGAACTGAAACTGGTGGTCGGAGAAGCCCTTCAACGAAGGGTACGGCCATAAACTCACCGAAGAACGGAGGCACTTCTCTCGCAATTATGAGAGGGACGAAGGAGAGGGCGAAAGTGGCTGACGGAAAAGTGTTTGTGTTGGACTTGGATTTGGGTCCGGAGCATGGAGAGATCGGTGGCTGACCGTCATCAAGTACTTCCGCTTGCCAGCCGCCCCTCCTATTTGAGCGGGAAACGGAGAGCCTAGAAAGATATAACAAAGGACACGTCTACTTCATCTTCCTGCAGGAAATTTGCAACATTGACCGTAACCTTGCGTTGACCGGTTACCTTTTTGGGCTGAACAAGACGTGGTCGATCTCGCCTATCCAGATCGTTCGCAACAGCTGATATTGGCCGGATGAATCTGATAACCGTCCGTCGGTCGCGTTGTGATTGGACAATGCTGGACAAGACATATGGAAGAACACCCAAATAGGCCGATCGAAATTAGCTGTGGACGGGTGCCTGATCGGCGTTTACTTGCTAATGACAAAAGGATTGGAAGAAAACAAAGGAGAGAAAAAACGCAAAAAAAAAAATCATGTTTGCGGGCAACCAGCGTGTCTGGGTTCCCAACGGCCCTTATCACTATCTTTATCGGCCTCGAGCCACATGCGAACGACTGGTGGAACATGACCTTCGGCAGAGAGAACGCGCTCGCAACTTGTGCATCGATCAATGAATATGCCCTCGTAAGCGCACATTGGGTTCTACGCGGGCGGGGGTAAGCGGCAGGCTTCTTAACGGGCAAGACGATACCATTAAGCTCTGAAACGAAACGCGGGGATTTGACTGGAGCATTCTTGCAATCTGCTGCGAAAGGCTTTGATAAACGATAAAACCGGACTGGGAATGGGGCGATTTCTGGGAGGATCAACGATAGAAATTTGATCGCTTCTACCCCGCACACCTTTTCTCTTGGTCCGAACGCAGTTACGCTTTCGGTGACCAGTACAGGGTCTTTATGAGAGTATGCCATGGTAATGTAGCACACCAGAACATCCCGGATAGTGAAACGAACAACGGCAGGATTGCCGAGCTGTGTCGAGCCCCGTATTCGGGTCCAGATGTGAAGTTTGGAGGAATGAGTTTGATTAAATTCGCGTATATAGTCGACGAGTCCTTCGGCTTGGAGCGGTGGAAGCCCATCATCCAGCACAGGAAACAGAGAAGGACCTCGTTTGTCGTACGGTATGTACGGCTGAGGGGATTCTGGGGAAGGGGGTCGTCTAGCAAACACCATCAATGTCGAAAAACAAGGATGGAAAGCAGTCCTGCCTTCGTTTGCGCATTTCCCGCCTACCGTTTCGGTTCAGGTCAGACTTGTCTGCCTTTTCACTGCTAGCCGCGGTGCGAAGAGCATCTTGGACTGAATCTGAGCGGACCGTGTCCGTGAGCTCCTTCAGCTGCTGGAAGTCTTTACGGATGGACGGGGTAGAAAAGGGCATGGAGGATTTGAGTAGAGATGGTGGAGCATGTCTGAGCTGCTGGAGGCGGGACTGGACGTCTGCAAGCGAGCTGATCAGTGAAGAGAGACGGTCGACCTCCATGGCTTCGAGAAGCGGATTCGCGGTCATGTGATGTGGCACACTCTGGCCAAATCATCTGGAAGATTCGATTATCAATCTCGCTTTTCTAGATCTCTATCTCATCCCGGCGCCCGCTCATTCCCAACCGAAAGCCAGCACATTGCTGCAACAACTTGATTTTCCAAGACTTATTCCTGATACTAAAGGAAGTACTACACACTTCAAGTTACAGTAAACATACAACCTTGAGGGAGTCTTGAGGCATCAAGAAGGCGTCTGATACCACTTGCAGTGTTATTGCTGGAGTCTTTCCCTATTGGTCACTATCGTTCATGGAGAAATTTACTAGGAAGCGAGATCGGAAGAAACCAGTCTAAGCTTGAACCACGCCCGTAAGATTCTCCCAGAAGCCGCTGGATACAGAGCTGTCAGTGGTCACTGACGAAAACAAGCTACGTTGGACACTGGCAGTACAGTATGACGCTTGAGCTTGAGGATTCGAGACACGATATGCAGTACTGTACTACTTGCCCAATTCACCCACTCTTTTCAGCAAAATGTCTACCCTCCCTTCAAGCCCGCCGACATTACCCTTTACTACGCTCCGATTCTCCTCTAAACTCTGCTCAATCGTCTTCACCGCGTTCTCAAGTTCACCCAGCGCCTCCCGTATTTTGCGCTGATCCTCTTCCAACCCTTCCAATGTGCTTTCAAACTGACCTGCCGAAGAGTGTAACGCAGATAACGTCCGCAAACGAGTGAGAATGTGGGGAATATGGGGAAGCGAGGGGCCCAGCCGTGACAGCAACGGTAGTATCTGATCCTGTATCTGAGAAGGAGGAGCCCCATTGGACTGAGAGGGATGTCGGCGATGCGAGTGATGCTGCGAAGCAGATGCGCGGTCTAAATCAGAAAGCAGCAATTTCAACCGCCGGGAGATGGAGTCGATATGTCGGGGTTGAGTTAAGAGCGTCAATTGGGCACTGAGGCGTGTAACGAGGGGCAGCAAGGGCGGCGGTAAAGGTGACGACTTGGACACCGTCGTCAACAATTGAATGATAATCGACACCAGCGCATACGCACCTCGTCAAGCGCGGCGGTAGATGATCCTACTAGCTTCTCGAGCTCTCCAACGCGTCGGTCCATTTCTACAACGTTGCGTACGTTCGGCTTCCCTCCCTCGTCGGGTGAAGCAGCTACAGCAGCTCGCTTTATCTCGGGCTCCTTTTCCTGATTGAGGATGGCGCCCACGAGTCTCCCTCGGCCTTCTTTACCTTTGCGAATCTTGTCCAATCTGCTGCGTACATCGACTAGACCACGTATCAGTTCCCCAGGATCTACGCTATCGTCTTCCCGCTCTTTAAACAGCAGCGGATTGGCGGGATCGGCAAGCTCAGTCTCGAGAGACACCACCTCTGCTTGCAACGCGCGAAGTCGTTGCGACAGCGGCATAGGGCGCGACGTTGACGGGTCGACTGGGGAAGTAGGGTCGGTGGGAGACGGCGGGTATGCATAGTGCGTTCGGGGCCGATCTTCAGCAGCCTGATAAAGTTTTGGGACGGAGAAAGAGGGACGGCGCACCTCGTCGCCTCTCTGCCTTTCTGAACTTTTTGCTTGCCTCGTCGTGTTGCATGAGATTAGTCGAGTCGAGCTCCTCCTTTGACGCGCCGACATCGACCGTTCGGGTGCCTCTTATCCCGGAGCGCGAGGTTACAGCCTCGTCGTCACTGCCCGCGTCAGCTTTCTGTCAAGACGAGGCATGAGCAGCAGCAGCTGTTGTTTGATATGCGCGACTTACGTGGACGGAGGGCAGTGGATCCTCCGTCTCGTAGACATCTTGTGCGGTGTCCTGGAGTCGTTTAGTAGTGCGATGGGGATGTGAGGGACACTGACGATGTCTGGGAGGGTGGAATACTTTGTTGGATTCATGGATGGTATAAATCAGATTTACTGATGTTACTGTTTGGCTGCCACCATGGTTCTCGTCCTCATAATTGGGGACCTGCACATCCCCCACCGGACCCATGATCTCCCTTCAAAGTTCAAGAAGCTGCTAGTCCCAGGGAAGATACAGCAGATTCTGTGCACCGGAAACGTGTGCGACAAGGAGACCTATGAGTATCTGCGTACCATTTCGCCGGATGTTAATGTGGTCAAGGGGGACTATGACGAGGTGCGCGGCCAGGGTACCCATCCCCGAATGATATGCCGACCCAATAACCAGACCTCAAACTTTCCGTCGTCGATAACGGTCGTTCACAGTCCAATCAAAATCGGCGTCATTCATGGCCACCAGAGTGTTCCAGTAGGCGACCTGGACTCCCTCAGTGCGATTGCGCGACAGATGGACGTTGACGTCCTGATATCTGGGCACACCCACATGTAAAGCGCGCCGCAGTCTAATCTCTACGCTAGTGAATGAAGCTGATGTGTTGCGCAGCTTCCAAGCCCGCGAACACGACAACAAATTCTTTGTCAATCCCGGCTCGGCCACTGGCGCGTGGACGGGTGCCTTCAACGGGTACTCTATCTTTTCGTTGCAAATGCGCCTGCTGATCCCGATCCAAGCGACCCTACTCCTTCCTTTGCACTTATGGACATTCAAGGACCCGTAGTTGTCACCTATGTCTACCAGCTTATTGAGGGCGAGGTACGCGTCGAAAAGATTGAATGGAGGAAGGAGGACGAGGTCGCACCCCTGCCAGCGAGGAGTGCTCCGCAGCCGATTAGCCCACCGCCGGGTAGCCCTCAACCTGCTGGAGTATGGTGAATGTCGTGTGAGCTAATCATGTGTGCATCGACCTGTCCTAATCTGTCTCAACGCGCCTTAGGTAAATAAATGCCTTGGTTGTATAAGTTAAATTCTTTGGACACTACGTTTGGTGTGCTTGAGTCTTGCGCAAATCTTCATGTGCAACTCAAAAGGTTTACACTTCAAAATTGGTCGCGCCGACGGACCTCGGCCCGCCCGTGCTCATGGCTTGAATTAAGAGTTCATCCTGTGGGAGGAGTGGCTAAGGGAAATGTGGGCCCGTCGGGCTGCAGAAATAGTCGTTGGCGAATTGCGCAAGGACGGCAAAAACCCGTGTAACAAGACCAAAAACAACTGCCCCAGAGAGGCTCGAACTCTCGATCTCACGATGACATCAACACTGAATGTAACAGTCGTGCGCCTTAGCCAACTGGGCCATGGGGCAGATATTTGGTGTTTGTCGCACAATGCTATGACTCGGAAGTAAGGCAAGTAAGGATCTTGCGAATATCTCATGCAGAATTCCCGAAAAAATTGGCAGGGAACGTGGTTATGTAGTGTGTTATAGCCCCCACCCAAAAGTGCCCATTATATGCCAAAGGACTGAGCCATCACAGGGTTCAAACTCCGAACTCGCTACGGCTATCGGAATCCTAGTAGATTGCAGTTCATAATCTTGATCAGCGTGACTATACCCAGCACCCGGCGAGTGAGACAACGACACTTTGGCCGAGTGGTTAAGGCGACACCCTGCTAAGGTGTTGGGCTCTGCCCGCGTGTGTTCGAATCGCACAGGTGTCGGTTCTTTTGCTTAGGTCTATCATTAGACCCAGTCCGGCGTTTTTTTGCCGCGGCCAACTACATGGACGACTCGGATAAGCTGGTCTGCATGGCTGAAAAGTCAACGTCCTCCAAACCCGGCCCCAACGCGCACTATGTCCTCGTTTGCCACGGTGGCGCGGGCACCATGTCGCGCGCGGGATCTACGCCCGAGCAGCGCGCGGCGTACCAGACTGCACTACGCACCGCCCTCAAGGCGGGCTACAAGGTCCTCAGCCAAGGCGGTAGGCCACTGAGTTAATTCATTCATGACCAAACCCATCTCCGCAGGCGAGGCTATGGATGCGGTCACAGCGGCAGTGTCCTCGATGGAGGGTATGTACTAGTGTTATCCTGCGCGTCGTTCCCTAACTGACGGCGCGCCGTAGACGACCCTTTGTTCAACTCCGGTGGGCGGATGCAGAAAAACATCGTCCTCCCCTCTGATAGATCCGCCAGGCAAGGGCGCGGTGTTTAACACGGCGGGCAAGGTCGCTACACCCGCTACTTGAATGAACTTGGGCTGACTTGGGTCCAGAATGAGCTCGAGGCCTCCTTGATGCTTTCCAAGCCACCCGCGTCGCATCCCCAGATCCCGCCCTCACGACGCGGCGTCGGAATGACGCTCCTGGCGCACGTCCGCAACCCAAGCGCGCTTGCTCGTGCGCTCTACCTTGCGCCCGACGCCCTCCCCCACACCTTCATCTCGGGCGCGACCGCAGAATCGCTCGCCGCAGCGCTCGGCGAGCCGCTCGTTGATGAGGGGTACTTTTACACGCGGAATCGCTGGCTCGAGCATCGGCGAGGGCTCGGTCTCCCCGACGGGCCCTTCCCGTACCCAGATCCCGACGACGAAAAGGCAGGGCTCCCGCTGCTGGACCTGCAACCGACGGGCACGGTCGGCGCCGTGGCGCTCGACGTGCGCGGCTGCATCGCGGCGCTCACGTCGACGGGGGGGCGCACAAACAAGCTCGTCGGGCGTGTCGGCGACACGCCGCATATGGGTTCGGGCTTTTGGGCGGAGGAGTGGCCCGCCGCGGCGGGGTGGGTGCAAAAGACGTGGAGCAAGATCTGGGGCCTCCCCGCGACGCACGCGCTCGGTGTGTCGGGCACGGGCGACGGCGACGTAGGCTCACACTACATGACTGTGATTCCGCATGCTGACATGCTCTCTAGTACTTTATCCGATGTGCGACAGGTGTAACGATTGCGCATCGCGTGAAGTTCCTCGGCGAATCGCTACAAAAGGCGACTGAGTACGCAGTCGAGGAGCTCCGCCAGAACGGCGGCATCGGCGGCGTGATCGCTCTCGACAGCGCGGGCAATGGTACGTCCAACACGCTCAGCAAACAACGATTGACTCGTGCCACAGTTGCCATGAGTTTGAACTGCCCCGGGATGTACAGAGGAAGTATCAGAGAGGACGGCGTCCCGCTGACCGCCATCTTCGACGACGATGTGCTTGCATGAGAATATTACAGTTGTACACGGTACTACAGTGTGGCTTTGTGCATTGCGCTTTTAAGTCTCTGTTTGAGTGGGTTGCTGTCGCGCGCCGCCTTCTCCTCCACCGGGCTCGCCGTCATGGTGGACGTCGTCAGAACGGGACTGGCGACGCGGAGTGGGGGGAGCGCCTTCTGGACCTCGTCCTCCAGCACGGGCTCTACCGTTTCCGTTACAACAGCGACTCGTGTCCATCTCCGGAAGCGCGTATACTGGATAGGATTCAGAAAGTAGTCCGCACAGCAACGGGGCAGCGCACCTTGCCCATTCCGCCCTTGGCGCTAGGCTTCTCCCACTTGTTGTCTCCATAGACCCAGCCGTCCTCGTCTGTGACGAGGTCCTCCTCCTCTTCCTCGGAGTGCGCGGATGCCTTGTCGCCCTCGGCGTCGTCCGCAGGCAGGTGGCTGCCCGACTCGCGCATCTTGACGGCGGCCTTCATGAGGAGGCCGTTGCTCTCCTCCTTGTCGCTAGGGAGCGGCTTCTCGACGCGGGTAAGGGCCGCCGCAGCGTCTTTGCGGACGAGGACGCGCCACTCGTGCTCCTCCCACGTCCAGCGGGCGATGCGCTTGACGCGGCCCTTGCCGTCGGGGCCGGCCATGCACATGGTTGTGTCTTCGGGGAGGACGAACGCGTTGGGTGGGGCGACGGCGTTCTGGGCCTTGGAGCACCACGACGGGCGCTCGGCGGGTAAGAGGGCGGCGGTCCAGTCGAGTCCCATCCACCAGCGCTGGTTCTCGTAGACGGTGAAGAGAAAGCGGAGAGTCTTTGTCGGGGCCGGGGGGGTTTCCGCGGCGGCGGAAACCGCGGAGTGGGCTGCGTGTGGGAGGGGCTGGCCAGTCAGGGCGGCGGCTGCGCGGTAGATGGCCCAGCGGAACCAGGCGCTACGCCAGAGGGAGTTGCGGAGGGCGACGGCCCAGGGGGCGCGCCAGGCGAGCAGCACGGTGCCGGCGACCGCGACGAGTACGCGGAGGCGCACAAAGTAAGTCAACACGAGATACGGCGCATATAGAACGAGCGCTGCGCGCAAGAGCGGCTTCGGTGCGGCGAGACTAGGGGGCAGCGCGGGCAGACGCGGCAAAAGAGCGTCGATAGCGGCAAGGTCTGCGACCGCGGCCTGGAGGGTGTGCTCAGACGCGAGCACAGACGCGGGGCGGCAGCTAGAAGACCATGCGGCGAGGGCCAAGGTGGAGAGACAGGCAAGGGGGAGAAAGTAGCGGATGGCGGGCTCGGCGGAGAGGACGGCGGCCCACCAGGCGGCGACGAGGAGCCAGGCGTCGTAGGGGCTGGCCCAGGCAGGGATCTCGAGGGCGCGGCGTACGGTGTGGATGGGCGGCGCAAGGGCGACGAGTAGCGCGGTCACTGGCAGAGACGTGGACATCCCAGTGCGCGCTCGGGTTTGTTTGGTCACGCATGCACCTTGCTCTCCCCACTGTGGTCGCGCGCGCCGTCGTCGGCGCCCTGCTGGTGGGGTGCGCGCTGCTCCCGCCTTTCGACGCCGCCGCGCGCCATGTGCTGATGCGATGGGACGTGGTGCACTTCCTCCATGTCGCCCGCCGCGGCTATGTTTTCGAGCACGATTGGGCCTGGCTGCCCGCCCTCCCCGCCCTGCTCGCCCTCTCCCCCGTCGCGCCCACCCTGCTCTCGCTCGCCGTTGCCTGCGACGCGACAGACACTATGTACCGCCTCTCGCTGCACCACCTCGCGTCCCCCGCCCTCGCCCGCCTCGCCGCCGTCCTCTCGCTCCTCCCCAGCAGCCCCGCCACCCTCTTCTGGGCCCCCTACACCGAGCCCTTCTTCACCTACCTCTCTTACAAGGGTATGCTCTACTGTGCCACCGCCCACTACCTCCCCGCCGCCCTCGCCTTCACCCTCGCCGCGGCATTTCGCTCAAACGGCTTTCTCCTCAGCGGCTTCATCGTCTGGTCGATGCTCGTCCAGCCCTTTCTCCAGCATGCGCACCCCCGCATCGATGCGTGGCCAGCCCCGCGAACCGTTCTCGCGTGCGTCGTGCTCTCCGCAATGCCCCTCACCCCCTTTGTTGCCCACAACTACGCCGCCTACCGCGCCTTTTGCAACACCGTATACACCCCCGCACCCTGGTGCGTCCGGCCCCTCCCACTCGTTTACTCCTACGTGCAGGGTCGCTACTGGGACGTTGGTCTCTTCCGCTACTGGTCCCTCCAGCAGCTCCCTAACTTCCTCATTGCCGCGCCCCCGCTGCTTGCCATCACCGCCTTCAGCGTCCACCACCTCCGCCACTGCCTCAAGTTCCCCGCGCCGCCTCCCCGCACCTTCCTCGCCCCCTCCATCGCCCCGCACGCTATCCACGCCCTCCTCATGTCGGGCATCCTACTCTTCGCATCTCACACCCAAGTGATCCTCCGCCAAGCCGCCGCCATGCCCATCACCTACTGGGCCGCCGCCTGGCTGCTTCTTGAGCACCCCAAGTGGGGCCGCGCCTGGGTCGCGTGGAGCATCCTCTGGGGCGCGCTGTCCGTCCTCCTTTGGGGCGTCTTTCTCCCCCCAGCGTGACTATGTAGGTACTTCGTATCAAGACATTAGATTCGATGAGGTTTTCGTACACAAATGTATGTTATGCTAATTGCGAACTGTTCAATAAGTAGAGCCAGGTTTCATAAGCTACAGCGAGGCAGAGGGCTACACTGGAAATCAGCACACAGCTCATTCAGACACAAAAGCCCACCCACCACAACAGAGTCTGCAGCGGAAAGGGTATCGGGAGTCGCCCCAGCCGCGGTCGCCTTTGCTTGCGTGGCTTTGGCTTCAGAGCTCGCTGCCACCTCGGCAGTCGACTGGGTATCTTGGGTGTGAGCATCTTCAGCGCTCGCCGTCTCCTTTGCACTGGTCGTCGCCGACGCCACGGCGCTGGAAGCCGCGACCTGGCCAGACGAAATCGTCACTGCCGCCGAAGACCCGACTGCCGATGCAGACGCAGACGCAGACGCAGACGCAGACGACGCCGACTGGCTCATCGCGATCGCCTTACCCTTCATCGCCGAAAGCGACAGGTCCAGCTGGTAGTCGGTCGGCACCGACACCTGGTTCAGCTGTAACCACGGGATCGTGTATCCGCCCTTCCCAACCCGCACCGTCGCCGCCGCC